AATACTGCACACAATACGTTAATATTTTCGACAATGACACATTGACATTACAAATCACAATGAAATTCATAAATGTCACACTATGTTAATAAATATTTTGTATGTCAAAAATTATCTTTTAAAATTTTAGTTCACAAATAACAAATTCACTTTATACTACAAATTTTATCAAAATGTATATTGCAAATTCACTTGATAAAAAGAAATTATTTTGTGCAGTAAACAATTTCATGTGGTTGGCAAACAACAGCTAAGATCATGTATAATTCAAAGTTTAGGGGTACCTAAATTACTTTCGATTTTATTGATCATCCGGTGTTGATTGCAGCTCTAATTGAACTCCGGCTTCCAAATATTTGGAACTACATTTGTGGCCAACGACCTAAATAAAGTAAAATTTTGTAAACCGAAAATGAGTTTTGCCAAGTTCACGCCCGAATTTACTCGCTTACTTAATATATTTTTCAAAAGAAATTCAATAAATTATGTGAAATTTCTTACAATTAATTGCGAATTGAGAGAAAATTAACTACTAAAAGAGAAAATTACCATTTTTTGAATAAATTTGAGAAATTAACTTATAAATTATTGTTATAAGCTTAAATCTGATTCTAAAACTAAGCACCGAGGTTAAATCTAATTCTAAAACTTGTATGTATGTTGATTTGCAATTCATGTATTAATTTTTAGTTATACAATCTACACAAAATGCTATTAATAGTAAAAAGTAGTTTTTGTTTTGTTATTTACAGTAACCAGTTCAATAAATAAGTATGTGTTTTACATGTAAAAAGTAAACTGTTGGATAAGTAAACCTTTTATGTGGAGGCCAATTAAAGCTTTTGTTATTTCTATTTTGATTTTATTATACTTACACATACAAGTTTAAGAAGTATATAGAATCAAACCTTAAATTTAACATAAAAATATAATTTTATAACGGAATTAATATTCTTTTTCAATTTATATATGTGTGTGTGTCCATGTATTTTAAAAAGCAAAAACAAAAGAAGAAATTGGCTTAAGTAGCTAAATTTATAATTGCACTCTTTTTTGCATAATATAGCAATCAATTTTTTGTTTCCCGATGAAGTTCATTGACAAAAATGTATTAATTGTTATACAATCGCCCTCATATCCCACCACAAAAAACAAACCAATACCTAAAAAAATCATAGCATGAGCTCCGTTATCAAAAATTTATAATTTTAGTAATTTCAAATCGGAATAATTAATTTTGTAATATTTTTTTCTAAATATTTTTGACAGAACTTAGTCTGTCATTATGTAATTGAAAATAAAATTTTACATTATTCAAATTATTCAAATATATTGCGAAAATTCGCGGTATTTCTCATATTCAACTTGTAAGAAGGAAGTACGATTTTTTCCCCACTCTCCATTAAATAGTGAATCCTAACTTTTTTTTTTATAATTCCAAATATTTAAAATTAAATATAACCTAACATATTTTTATGAAAAATATATTTGCAATTGAATAAGTTCTAAGCGTTTGATAATATTATTTATTTTAACAGAGTAACACTATGTAAATGGCAATCGAATTTTATAGGAAAAAATTTTTATTTGTAATCATAGATCCAAACCACGGGAGTATTCGAAATGTCAAATAACTCCGCTTTTCAATATTAAATACAAAAACAACTAGAATTTCCGATACCTAATGGAAAACAAAACCGAAACGTCAATTAAATGTCAAATTAAACATCGAAATAAAATTTTTTGTCTTTTTGTTTGTGATTTTTCAAAAATATATATGCATATAAGTATTAGACGGCTTCCTTTTAGATTCTGACCCAAATTAAATCGCAATTCACTTCATTTGAGGTAGATATAGTACTATCGCCCCCTGCCTCTTTCAGGTATTTTTTCATTTCACAATTTTTAATTTTTTTTTTGTTTTCACATCACTCCGAATCCAAACTTATTATTTAAATTAAGGCAATTTTGCTTTCAGCCATCTTAATTTTTTTTCTTTCAAAACCTAGACAGAATAGAAGGCTTACACTCAGAATATGAATGACTTTAAAAGTCTACTTAACGAAAAAGTCACAAGCAGCGCGACTCCTGTGGTACATGGTTATTTTCAAATTTTTTATATCAAAAAAAAAAAATTCCCTTAGAAAATCAACGTCCGTGATTTACGCTACAGTCAATATTATCAACTTAAACAATTACAAAACTACCAGAAACTACTAATTTATTCACACTAAAAATTTACAATTTTTCCTTTAAAAAACCCCAAATAATATTTCCCAAAATTCTCTATATTTTTTATGTCATACTATTATTTTCAAATATATTTTATAATTCTCTCTCTCTCTCTCTCTCTCTTTCACTATAAGTCCAAGAGAACATTACATGAGATTTTTCCATTCAATCATATTTTCTAGCTGTGTTTGACACAAGTATTAACAAATAATAAAAAATAAAAGCCTTTATTTACCACATACAACAATTTATTTACATATATATAGCCATTTTTAACATTCATTATTTATCATGAAAATATATATTTAAACATGCATTAAAACCAATTTAATAAAAAAAAAACAAAAAACAGTAGCATAATTCCTAAACATTTTTCTGTGTGTAGTAGTTTTATACTTATTTTTTTTGTTCTTAGATTTTGTATATACTTATGTACAAAAGTATTTAATTAATGCTATTGTTAAAAAAAGAAAACTATTGAAACCAATACAAAAAAAAAACAAAACAAAATATTATTTTTAAAATAAAGTTGGATTACAAACACTCTTATATATATATATATACATACATACAAATCGTAGTTGGCTGGTACAATGAAAGTTATTAATGTAGGTACCTGTTTTAATAAAAGTAGTTATTAAATAAAATTATTTAACTTCTGCTTAAAAAATTTTTTAATTTTTAATGAATATTTTACATCTACATATTATTATTATATTTATAATATCACATTCACACAAACATTTAGATTTAAATGTCCATATATAATATGTCACATCCAAAAAAAAATTAGTAATTAATTTTCACTTTAAAAAAAAAAAAATGTACAATTAATTTAAAAACAAAAAAAAAATCCATGAACGACTAATAATTTTATCAAAAGAAATATTTATTATTATTATTTTTTTTTTCTAAATTTTATAAATTCGAAAAATTTTTAATTTTTTTTCAAATAAATTTGTGCGAATGAAAATAAGAATCTTAAAATCTAACTATATATCTAGCTACTTACATAATATATCAATTTCAAATGTAATTTTTTACGAACCCCATGAAATATGCAATTTTTTTTTCTTAATATACAAATATTTTCTGAATATTTTTTACTTTGTTTCAACTAATATGAATTTATTTTTATTATTAATGTTATATTGATTTAATATTGTTTAATGAAATAATTTATTAAATTGACGGACATTTATTTATTGTCAAAAATCAAATAATCTATAATATTAGCAATATAGAACATAAAGATGAGCAAAATTTCATGACAGTTAATGATTATACATTGCAAATTGCAACCTTAAACTCTCTTTATATATTTTGCTCTCAAATTATTTCTGATTTTTTTTTCTTTCAACTAAAGTTGAAATTATTATCGTAATAGCTATTTTATTTTCACATAAAAAAAATATAAATATTGTATGTCGATAAATGTCACAAATTAAAATAAAATAATGTTAAACAAAAAATATTGTAAATTTTCCTATAAATTCTTAAAAACGGAAAGGAAAGTGTGAATAAAATTTAAATCTTAATAAACTTAATAGTTATGCAATCTAAATATGAAAAATACAAGTTTTAATTATTTGCTTTTATTAAAAAAACAAAAAAGAAATATTTGATAATTTCTGTCAAATTTGTCAACCTGTCAAAAATTTGTTTCGAACAGTCAATTGAGAATTTTAACGTTACACATTTTATGATCAGTAAATTTATATGATAGGAATTTTTTGGAATAAGTGTTATGCACATTAAGTTTATTGAGATTTTATTTTTGTTTATTTGTTATAAAAGTTAAATTATTCCAATACAGGGTGTCTCGTATATAACTGCGCTGCTACTTACCATTGAATAGATCATTTTGAGATGAATACAATACCTCTAATTACAAAAACTTAAAGTGAATTTCCACTGTTTTTATTTACTTTTTGAAATTTTACATAACTCAGGAAACTGTAATCCTGAGTCAGATAGGCGCATTAATAAATTGAACACCACAACCACAGAATAAGGGCTTTCTTATCAATATCTACATTAGTTATACAATTATTTGAACAATCAAATAATTGTATAACTAAAAAACAGAACCTGTTGAGGTATAAACATTATCCCAAAACAAAGGTCTACTCATGATGGTCTATACAAAAGTATATATAGCTGTGCACTTAAATACGAGGCACCTTTTTTACAAAGTTATTGAAATTTCTCAATGGTATAGGTACAGTGAGTTTTTTTCTCTCAAATTTTTAAAAAATAATTTTTTTACATAATTCTTTTTTGTTATTTAATAATTTTATTTTTTTTTCTCCATTTTTTTTTTTTGTTATACCAATAAACAAACAAACAAACAAGAGCGCTTCATTTTGCACAAAGAGTATATAAAAAACGAAAATAATACTAGAAAATTCTTAAATTAGATGTAAAATTTTTATAAATTGGCCATTAATGTTCTTTATATTCAAAGCTTATTCGTATTATTTCTTTTGATCAAATAATAATAAAATTATTAAAAAGCTAAAAGAAAAAAAGATTGTTTTTGTAAATGCATATGAAAGCTAAATTATACCATTTACCTAACAACCAAAAAAAAAAAAAAATACAACTGCATTTTTATTCAGAAATTCTAGTTTTAATTTTTTAATATTCAAAAAAAAATTTTTTTTATTTATTTTATTTCAATATTTTTTAATTATTGTTTTTTGTATTTTCTATCTCCCATTTTTCTCAAAATAACAAAACGATATAAAAAAAAAACTGATAAAAAGGTATATTGGAGGTTCCCAAAGAGGATCACGGCGTTCTAGTAATCGTGGGAATCAGCGCAGGCTCGTTCCTAATTTGTCTCCTATGCACACTCTGTCATCGCCAAAGAAAGCGACGTCACCATAGACAATTAGGTTTACATCGTAACGCAGCACATTATGATTCTACAACTAGTGCCACAGGTAAATTACCTTAATTTGAAAACATATATACAATAACAATATAATAACATAATAATTTTGTTATATTGGTATTGAAAAGAACAATAAAAGTTATAAATTTCCTCAATATTTTTAATTTTTTAATAAATTATTATTATTATAATAGAATTTTCTATTTTAATTAATTTGACCTTTATGATTTTTATAATTTTTTTAATAAATTTTTAATTTTTATTTTCAGATTTTTCGAAACCAAATATTAGAGTTTTCTTTAGTTCTATTCTATGTTTATTATTTCTTTAAACATTTTATTGTTTATTTTTTGCTAATACTTTTTAAATGTTATAATTTTAGTAATTAGAAAAGATATTTTAAATGTTTTATTTTATTCTATGTTTTGTTTAAATAAAAATATTTAAAATTATAAAAAAAATTTTTCTTTGTTTTTATTAATTTTTAGTTTTTTAATATACTATTCACTGATCTTTCAATGACATTGTCACTTGAATGACAAATTGATTTCTAACTGGAATGATGACTAATGCAACTATCCTTGACAATAGATTTTTCATATGCCAAATATTGGGCTAGTCGGTATACATATATCACGAATAGCTCAAATAATTTTGATTTCCAAATGGTATAAAATCAAAAATCAATAATTTCACAAAATTACACAGCTCAATATTTAAAAGATGTCAAATAACACAACGTTGTTTGTAGGGCAGCTGCCAATTTCATTGTTCAAATTATAGTTTCAATCATTCAATGGATTTATTGCAATTGTATTTACACAATGAATTCTCTTACGGATTTTTAATATTCACTTTCAATATTAACTTATTCGACTTCATAATAAAAATTTAAAAAAAAAATCGTATACAAACTGTTTAAACTAATACGCCTTTGTTCATTGTTTGTATTCTTAACAACGTTGCAAAAACTCTAAAGACAACAGGTTCAATTTAAAATTGTTTCGGAGAGGTTAAAATAAACATCTTAAAACTAAATGAGTATTTTGTATATGAAAAGGTATACGAAGGGACACAAATAGGAAGTGACAAAGCCCAAAACACACAAATGTACAAAGGCCCAATTAGTATTTTTCAATCTAAGTCAGGACAATTTGACTGCGTTGGTCAAGTAAAAGCTGATTTGACAAAAAAAAAATCTTAATTAATTTTATTAATGTTATTTTATTAATTTAATTTTATAATGTTTTAAATAAATATTTCAACAATTTTTTAATTTGATTTTACCTTTTTACGTCACAACTGTCACAATTATAAAATTTAATATTCCTTTTCGTCTTGCCTACAATCAAATTTATATTTCTTTAGAATGAAATTATATTAAAAAATTACAAATATTCTCATTTATTTAATTTACAATAAATAGGTTTAAGTTCCAGTAGGCGACATTTACAAGGTGCATCCGGAAGTTTATCGGGTAGTTTACATGGTATTAATAGTGGTACATTAACAATACCACCATTACCACCGGCTCCATTACCACCAACAAGTGTACCACCACCACCACATATATGTATTGCTGGCGGTACATTAAGTAATGGATCTGATGATGATGATGATGACGATGATGATGATGATGCATTAAATCATGATTTATTTATAAATGATGTTCGTTTCGATGATGAAATTATAAATAATGATGAAAATGTTTAACAATCGGTTAATATTTTTAATAAATTACATGTAATGATTTTTACACATCTTTTGGTATTTAAAAATAAAAAGAAATCATACAAATTACTGAAACTAATTAAATAATAAAGAGAAAACAAAAAAAAAAAAAGAAAAATAACAATATTAAAAATACTAAATAAAACAAAAACTACATTGAAAAAGACATATAAAATGAGGAAAACAAAATAAAATATACTTAAAATACTAAATCTATATATACATATATACATACATATATATATGAAATAATATGTGGAAAAGATAAAATATATGTAAATATTTTCAATGCGATGAAAAGAATTTATAAAATATTATTCTACACTACTTGAAAAGAAAAAAAAATAAATTAAAAATAAATTAATTAAAAAAATAAAAAACATACAAAATTAGAAATGAAATTTTTATATTTTTCATACGAAATTAATTAATTACAAATTTATTATATATTTAATTTTGAAATAAATTTTTTTACAATTATAGTCAAATAAAAAAATAGTTTTGGAAATAAATTCATATTATGGGTATTCATTTTATTTTTTAAAGTTATTTTATATAAAATGAATGAAAAATAACTTTTTAAAAACGAAAATTGAAAATTAATTTTTCTAATTCAGAAAAATGAGAGTATAAATAACCAAAGGAATAAAAAAAAATTTGTATAATTAAAAATAATATTTTTATAACAGTTTTTTAAAGAAAATTTTTTCTTTTATAATAATTTTTTGGGAAACTCTTATTTATGCAAATTAAAGAAAATGTAAAATTAATTTCTGTTATATTATTAATTTTTGTTATACTAAGAATTTTAATAATATAATTCTTAATGTTAAAATATTAAATATTGACAAAATAATCCGAAATAATTTTCACAAAAAATATATAATTTAAAAATTATTTTTCTATTTATTATTCAGAAGAAGACATTAATTCCAAGAATTTGAATTAAATTTTGACCCTAATTTGAATTAAATGTTATCGTTATATTATGTACTTCTACATTAATTATCTCTTAAATTATTTTAAAATTACATGCCCCAAATTTTGCAATTCAATTTTACATAAAAAATTTACAGATTTTTAAATAAATATTGTAATAAACTTACATTTATAATAATGTCAAATAATTTGGCAGCATTTTTGATTATAAAATTTTTAATCGAGTGATTATTTGTCGCCATCTATTGAAATAATTTTTCACTATTATAAATTTTTATTCTATATTTCAAGACAACAATAAGAATAATTTTCAAACGTCATTAAATCAAATTTTAAATTTTTTATAACATGAATACCACCATTTTGTTTTTTCATAAAACTATTTTAATTTACATTTTATATTCTTTCTAAATAAAGTAATAAAGAGCTTAAAATTTATAATGAATTTTTATATTATATTAAAAATCAATATACTTGCCCAATTAAAAATTAAAATTTGAAGAAAAAAAAACATGAAAGATCGCATTGATACAGGCAATTGCCAAAAAAAAAAAAATAAAAATTTCATTTTTATTTCAATTTTTTGGTACTAACACACCAAGCAAACGCAAAATATATAAAAATCCTATTTATTTTTAAAAAATTTTTTTTCTAATTTCATAACTATGTAAAGCAAAAGTTATAAACATTAAAATTACATCCTTTTAATGAGAATTACAAAACAAAAATACACACAAAAACAAAATAAATAAGAAAATACACTCAGAAAAAAAAATACACAAAACTGTAGAAATAGTTAAATAAATTTAACAATAAAAATGATATATATGAACTACATATATAGAAAAACAAAAAACAAAAAAAAAACAAAGTAAAAAACATAAACGTTGTATATTTAATAAGTATACATTGTAGAAATCGATTAACAATTAAAAAGAAAAAAAAAAAACAAAAAATTTATTATTAAGGATTGTTGGTTTTTATATTTGATACGATAATAGAAAAATAATAAAAAAAAAAAAACAAATTAACAAATTGATCAACACGTAATTTTTACTTATTTTAACAGTAAAAAAATTGAAAAAAAATAAAAAAAAAAAAAAGAAATCAAACATTTTTTTAATACAAAATTATATAGAAATGTAAAAAGAAAAAAAGAAATATTAAAAATAAAATATCAAATTAATAAAAACAATAAAAATAAAAATAAAATGGAATTCCTAAAGAATTTACAAATATTGAGAAAAAAATAAAATCTTTTAAATTACAAGAAAATTTCAAAAACTTATTCAAAAATTTCAATATTATTATTAAAATAAAATTTTATTTGACATGACACAACTTGACTGTTATATATGATACACAATTTAATCCTAATAAATATTAAAATGTTATACAATATTCTACAACTACTTTCTAACAGAAATGCAACTAAATTCATAAAAAATTTTCTTTCAATTCCATTTTCTATTTTAAAAATTAAAAATTTTCTAATAAATTAAAGTTTAAGTGACAATGACATTTACGTCATTAAAAAAAATGTGTTAGCTTATGTCATATAATTGTTAAAATTAAAAATATTGACAGTATTTTTGATTCCAAAATCTTACGATTATTTGTTACAATCTATTAAGTAATTGTCTCAATATTATGAAATATATTTATTTCAAAACAATATTAAGAATTTCTGTGGCGAAATGCCAAAATTCATGCACAGAATATACAAATTTAAATGGGAATGCACAGAATTAAGCAAAATTATCGCCGCAAATTTAACCGACAACAGTAAATAGCCTTAATTTCTATTTGGAATTATTTGTTTCGTTGTGATTTTGTCGACCCGTTATTGTTCTGAGTTAACAACAAGTGTCCACCATTGCTGTTCACCACTTTGATTCTATTTTTACAATTACATATAATTATATGTATTTTTGGTCGTACTAATTAACATAAACTTTTATATATAAAAACTACCTGAATATAACAGTCAATTGCAATCTGTCAAATGATTTTTTTTTTATTACTATTGGAGTTAGTATACTTCATCAATAATAAATAAATATTTGATCAATTCAATTTTTAATATATGAAAATTAAAAATGAAATAATTCCAGTATAAATTTTGATACAATTCAAGTATGGGACAACAATAAGTTCAAAACATCACACGTACATAGTATAGACGTCTACGTAGATAATTACCTATTACACTTACGTGATTTTGACGTATCTAATTAAAGCTGTGTTGTTTATTTTTACGGAATTGTATTTGATGAATCCTATTCAAATATTAAATTTTTTTTGTTAATTTATTCGAATGTTTTATAATTTTTCATTTATAAAGAAAATTATAAATGAAAAATATTCCATATTAAATTAAATACTAACTCCAACTTCCTGCTCGTATAAAACTTAATAAATAAAAAAATTGTTTTAATTTTATCAGAATGATTAATTCGAAGTTGTTAAAAAGAAAATTTATTTATTTCTCAAAATCTAATTCAAAAATAAATAAGAAAATTATTATACAAAAGTATAATTTAAAAAGTTACAAAATTATAACGCTCCCATTTTCTAATTTTTTGCAAAATTTTATTTATTTAATTTTTATTTTCAAATTATTATTAATTTCGAAATATATTTAGCCAATATACAAAATCAAGTAAATATATTTAAAAAAGAAAAAGAAATAATAATAATAATGTTTAATAAAAATAGTCAAATAAAAAAAAAAAGCATATTATATACGAACTACGTAACAAAGTTAACAGAAAACTGAAGAAAATGAAAAAACAAAATAGATAAAATGCATTAAAGTTTAAATGAAAAAAAAAATGTTATTAAAATAATCAAATTTTTTAAAATATTTCTTACATAACTCATTTATTTATTTATTAATTTTTTTTTTTTAATTAAATTTTAAATTTTTATCAAACCTTATATATTGATATTTAATACTTTTATTTCTTGGTTATGTAGCGCACGACTTATTTACCCCGATTAAGTCTAAGCCTCATGCAACAAGAAAAAAAAAACTAGAAAAAAAAACAAGAAAAAAAAAGAAAACAAATTTTAAACTTTCACATTTTTTATATTTTGACATTCAAATTGTCAATATGTCAATTGTAACTGTATTACGCATATAATCTACTATACTCACTTAATTCAAAATTAATTGCAATACGATATTAAAATACAATTCAGAATTATATTGGCTGAATTGAATAACAATTTAATATTACTAAAATTAATTTTTGAAGACACGATACCTCTTTAATCAACAAAAAATTCCTCTTCATAATTGCAAGTACATTAATCAGGAAATCAACTATTCAATTTCAAAATCTGAATAATTATGGTATTAAAATGTAATTCAGCTTAAGAATTTATATTTGCCGAATTGATATTACCGCATTTTTTAAGACACGGTAACACTTAAATGAATAAAATATTCTTCTTTACAAATACATATTATAAGAATCTTAAAACTAAGATTCAACAATTTCTGTTTTCTTTTTTTTGTGTTTTTTTTTTTCACTCTGAATTTATCTACAATTTTTAAATATTTTTTAATAAAATATTTTATGAGATTTAGGCTTAATATGGGAGATTATAAATAATACTTACATAAATTAAAATTAAATCAAGAAAAATAAGAAAGAAATTGCAAAAAAATAAAAATGAAGAAAAAGATTTAAAAATACAAAAAAAAAATTAAGTGGCATTTAGCAATTTTATTAATAAAACTAAAAGAAAAACCAAAAAAAAAAAAACAGATTAATAAATTAATAGAAAAACAAAAACTAATTAAAAAATCAAAAAAAAAAAAAAATTAAAAAAATTAAAAAAAATGTTTATTCCGGAATTCTTCAATCCGCGATTAAACAATCGTGCCAATAAAAGAACATAATCTAGATATACCTATTTTATAAAAAATTAATTAAAATAATTTTTTTATTACATAAAAACAAAAAGCTGTTTATGTGATTTAGAAAATGATCATTAAGTTGAAAATTAATAATATTATTATATTAGTATATATATAATAAATATATATATATGTATACCTATATAAAAAATATAATATGCATCTATTTATAAAATTATATAAATAATATTTATAACAAATTATATATTATGACAAAATTTTATAATAATCGAAAATACAGAAGAAAAAAAAATATTTAAGAAAAAAAAAGTAAAAAATCTCCACGCAAAATAAATCCATATTACAAAAATACAATAAAAGAAATGCTATAAAAAAAATTGAATAAATTATCTAAAAAAAAATAAGCACATTATTTAATTCTCGTAAATATTGAAAATTTTTTCCAATTTAAAGAAAATTTATTTATTTTTGTTTATAATTCAATAATTGAATTCGGTATTTA